TACTGAAAAAAACCTTCCAAAACAAAAACCTAAAATAATGCACAACAGCTTAATTTGTGGCAAAAAAATGACAATAAGAATGCTCATAGAGAATGTTTTATGTACCTTTTATCTGTCATATATGCATTTATCTCACTGGACTATTAGCATAATTTAGTTAATGCTGAGCCCTGTTTCTCCCAGAAAATCAACAGAAAAAGAGTTTTGTAGCTGAGAGTTTCTCAGGGATCCAGATGGTTTAGATCAATTGCAGAAAAGTCATTCTAAAGATGACTAATGGTTTGAAAACTGAAAAGAAGTAAGCTCCGTAGGGCACAGCTTGTGCTACCAGGCTCTGCTCTAGTGTATGGTTTTGTTGTTAATTGTTTGCATTCTGTTACATCCTCTGTGAGCCTTATCACAGGCAAGGCTTTCTCAAATGGATTAATTTTGCCAGCAAGAATTGACGGAGAGGCATAATGCTGAATGAAGATGAACTAATTAGCAAATGTACTAATTTTACAGAAGCTGAATTTTAAATTATCATTTACTGCAGTACATCAAATGTGCAGCTTGACATGCAAAATATAAATATTATATGTGTAGCCTACTTCTGTCAGCACAGTCTGTATTGCACCTGTGAATGAAGGGTACATTTAACTCTGCCATGTGAAGGGCAATTCTGTACTGAGATGAGATGAGTATGATTGTCCTGTCATATCCTGCAGATGATGTTGGCCATTTAAATGTCTAGTTCTCCAGTTCTCTCTATGTGGCTGCTGCTTGCCTGTTCTCTCTATAAAGCACTGGTTCCTTCACATGTTCTGTTTTATGAAGCAGTATCTCCTTATATTTCCTTTCACTGTAAAAACCACAGTGAGATATATATATATAGTGAGATCTGGTTGTCACAGGATAGCATAACCTAAATGTAGTATATGACACTGTCAAGTGAAAATGCAGTCAAATATGCAAATCTACTTTGTCTAAATAGTATGTTACAGCACTGGAGACGTGAGTTATCTTTAAAGCTCCCTTTAATTATGTTGGGCGTGTTATTGGAATATAAGTGCAATATCAGCATGTTTTGTGATAACCTCTGATAATCACTTTTATAAATAATTGCTTCTGTTAAAGAAATATCCTGTTTTAAAAACAAAATTATCATCAGAAGTTGATGGATGAAATTCTTAGGTTAATGTCATTTATAAAGATAATGTTCAAATGTTCACAGGTGAGTGTTGTTTACAAGTTTAAAATTGAAACAGCAGTTGATATAACTTATTTGTCTAATCCCTCTTGTCTATGAAATACATTATAAATATTTATTGTTAAGTGCTGAGCGAAAGCACAGAATATGAGCCTTGTTAACCATTTCCAGCAATTCTTCTGTGCTACAGAGTATTTTCAGATGGCACAAAATCAGAGCAGGATTTCCTACTCTAACTGAATAAATCAAGTAGGCTGTTTCTACTTTTGTTAATGCTACTTGGTGTACTGCTGATGGTGCCTTTGTATGGGTGTAATGATGTATTTGTGTAAAAATGCGCTCAATGGCTTGGATGGAAGGTGGTCTTTCTTGAATCCCTGTATCCTAAATTATCTGAGTTTGTTTTTGCTGGAGTATTTCTGCCCGTAAGTTTTGGGGTCAGTGGTTGACCTGAGCTGCTGGCTGGCTGATTCCTAAGATGCTGTTAGGTGTCTCTATGAGCTGGTGGTCAGCACTCACCTAAGGATTGCCAGCAGTGGCTGCTGAAAGGAGGAGAGTGCCCAGGTCTTGTAGACGACTTAGCATGCAGAGCATTTGGTGGTGCAAGGAGGACTTAAACCATACCCAGAGCACTTTTTCCAGGTAATAAGTGTTTGTAGTTTTTACCTGGAATATCCAACTTTATTTCTGCAGGTAAAGGTTTCTGAAAATTATGTAAGCTTCTCAGTGCATTAAAACAAAAGTGCAAACTGCCGTGAGTTACATGGCATGATGAAAACTGCTTGGTCAGATGATTAATGTGTAATGCAACTGAGCAGATTCCCAGATGACAGAGAGAATATGTTGAAGAGATCATTGTTACCAGAGTGCATGGCAAAGATATCAAATGGATGCTGTAAATATGAAATAACTATGAGGATAAATATATCTGAGCTAAAATACAGTGCATCATACATCCAAATATCAACACAGCACATACTAACTACAGGGAGGCAATATGCTCTGTGGAAACATTATTTATGAAGAAGGCATAGTGATATATGTAATGGTGGAGAGATGGTAATGGGCAGGAGGGTTAATTTTTAAGCTATCAGAGAGGTCTGCTGAGCTGCAAATTATTTTTTCTTGTCTCTGCTGACAGGTATTGCATGTTATGCTCCATTTTCAGCTTTGTTATTTTGTTGTTCCTTAAGGCTCTTCTTCAGCATTGCTGAAGGGAGGAGGGGACATGTCATAGGTCATTTTTGCTGAAGTTGGTGCTGAAAAAAGACTAGTTGTGTAACAGTTTTAGCTGGATTTGTGCTCTTATGTAATGTCAAAAGTATTAGGAACACAAATGCAGTCTCCATGTCTTCCTCACTAGTGGAAATACTGGAGGATGTTTGGTTTATGGGATTTACAGAGAAAACACAATATTGCTGGACTGCCAAAATCAGTGTCGTTCCAGCTACTTCCCTGAAGATATGTTCTGACCAATGTAATGTTCAGAAATATGTAGGGGACTCTAATGTTTCTCAGTGAAATTTGGGTCTCTCCTGTATGGCGCATTTTGGACTGTTCTCCAAATAGTTTTAGACGGTGTGAAGAACTTGCAGTGAAAAGGTAAGACATAGAGATATTTTATCATAAAGTTAAATGTGCCTATAAATAAAATTAACTCCAAGGTGTCATTTCAAAAAATCAGTTTAGAGGGATATCTGAAAAGTATTTTTACTATGTACATTCAACCTGTACATAAATAGGTTGCACTACAAAGGACCTTTTAGACTTGGAAGTCAAATCTTGGTCTTCATGTTGTCATCAGCAAAATTCCACTTGTGCTGAATGGTTTAGGAAGCTTTTCTGTTAGCAAATTCTTTAAGACTTGTATGCCACAGGCAAGAGAATATTTGATTTTTTTCTTTTTCATGGGCAACTCTTACCAATAAGCTATGTGCTTATAGTTTGCCAGTAGAATCCTTATTTTAGGGTCTCATCCCATTCCAGTTTATGAGAGTATATCTGCTGTCAGCAAAAGAATGACATAGCTATTGAACTAGTTAAGCTAGAGAATGAGGCCTCAGTGAAATAAGAGTATTGCATTCTTGCCATGTCCAAGGATGACTGGCTGAGAAGAAAGGAGATTCGGTAAAAGACAATCTTTTCCATCTTCTCTCTACTGTGCTAGAATAAATAAAGCAAGCATAACCATTGCTTCTTCCTTTCTAATTACAATTTGTGTTCCTTCTGTCAGTGTTGCAATGTTTTAGCCCTTGTTATTCAACAGTGTCAATGTGTTTGGTTCAGCTTATCCAACTGGAGACTCCTAGAAATTCCGTACCCTAGTCTTCAGTTGCTCCCTGTGGATTGCCTTGCTAGTGAAAACAGAGACAAGCACCTTCATAGAAGGAGCCCTTTCACTTGGAAGTTTAAGAACTTGTTAGATCAGTAGGATGTTGTGGCTTAGGAACATAAAATTCTAATATATTAACTGAAAGGACAGAGCATGATGTGGCCTCTGCCATCGAAGCGGTGGTTTGTAAAACACAGTCCTGAACAGAGCACCTTCAGCAATAGGTCCTGCTGGGGCTAAAGCTATGTGACAAAATGTGGTGTGCCATACTGCAAATGTTAATCTTATTTCCCCTCCTTCCTCCACAAAGTTATTACTTTCATAATATAATAATTATATAATAATTATATACATGATAATAAGGAGAAAATACCCTGTTGTAAGGACTTAGGCAGTAGGATTTTTTTTTCTTTATCAATTGCCAGTATATTTTGGTACATGCTCGCAATTTCATAGTTTTTGTTCAAAGGAGAATGAGAACCAATGGAGTTTTATTTCTGAATTTTTCATGATCATTTCTTCTTGTCTGCCAACACACACCACAGGATAGAAGGCTGATTATATTGTGCTCTCCTTTTGTTACTAGGTCAGTACTTCTAATTCTGAGCTTGTCTGCGTCACTGGGAGTATCAGATAATTTACTCAGAAGGAAGCCTCTGACATGCTCAGAATTAGTTTAGTCAGCAGAAAGTCGTCTGTGCAGAAAAGCTTACTGATTACTCTGAGAGTGCAAGTTACCTGTACTGAAGGGTCTGTATGGGTCAGAGCATGTATTCTGAATCACTAAATTGAGATGATTCTGTGTTTGAATCTGCATGCTATTAGTGAAATTAGTGACATCTTTTAAAATAATTCAGTCTGACTAAGAATATGCATTCACTCTCTGGGTTTCTTCATCTTTGTTTCTCTGTCCTTCCCCAAATCTTCCTGTAAAGAAATTTTTTTAAGTGAAAAGAAAAGAAAATTGTGGAATGTGGAAACAGATTTGATGATTTTTTTCTATTTTAAATATCACAGAATCATTTTGAAGTGTATCTCTTAAATGTATCTAATATGTATATGCTTGAAAGAGCAGAGTTGTATTTGTCCTGATTCTTTTCTGTGCTTCAGACAGATTTTGCCAGAAGGTGAGTGTCTGCTGAAAGAATACTTACTTGATGTAAATATGATTTTCTGTAAACAAAGGTGTATCAAGCCAAATCACTGCATTCTGCTCTTAACCAGCATGTGCTGGCCCTTCTGGAGGATGTTATCTGCAAGGGGGAAAGAGAGGATTGCTGAGATAAGGATTGCTCTGGAGAATCCTGCACTTAGGAAGCTGTGCAGAAATGGGAATCCTCACCCATGCTTGTTTTGAGCCACAGTTACTATGTTTACCAACATTTCAGTGGATGGGACTTAGGGAGAAATTAGTTGCAGGAATTCTAGTCTCTCTTTGTTAATACTTATCACTATTTCTGTTCTATTTTTTGTTTCCAGCTACAAGAAAACACATGAGACCCTGAGCCATGCGGGGCAAAAAGCAACAGCAGCTATCAGCAATGTAGGAACAGCTATCAGCAAGAAGTTTGGAGATATGAGGTATCAGCATCTGCTGCTTCTCTGGTCTTATTTAGAGGACTAAATGTATAAATCATTTGTCAGCTCTTCATTTCCTTCTATGTTAGTGTTCTAAAGGTTCAAGTAGTTTGTAGTTAGAGTATTTAATAATATTCATGTTTTTAAGTGGAAAGAAGGTATAATGATGACCAAAGATAGAATTTTTATATGTCTTGTTTTTGTTTTAAAAAGTACAGTCATAAATCCTTTTGTAATAACTTTGAAAACTCAAGGAAACGTATAAGTAAAATGGAACAAAAAATTGCTGTTAGATCTTCATTAACCCAGTTTTATTCTTATGTGGATGCTAGAGAATAATATCATCTGAAGAAAAGAAGCCTACCTAGGAGCTGCTTGTGATAATACAAAAAATATTTCAGGCTATTTTTATTCAGTTTTTATTCAAGACATACTGCAAAATTTTGTTCTGCAGTTGTATAAAAATAGATATTATAGAAGTAACAGGAGTTGAGGTCAGTAGAACTGCCACTTAAAGGCAACTTCAGTGTCAGGCTTTATATGTTGATGTATCTTTTCAAGTGTTGGTTTTAAAGTCCCTCAGTATGACAGCAAAAATTGTATACTGTAAACCAGCATTCCAGTTTTCATTAGGCAGTAGAATTACAGAACTTCATGAATGAAGGAGTTGATTTTTTTGTTATAAGTGGACATGGATAACACTACAATTGTGTAATTAGGGTCTCATTTATTAATAGTGCATATTATCCCATTAGTATGTACTCATTTTTTTTGTTATTTTGTAATGTATGAGGTAACCATATCCTAAGATCTGTGTGTGCTGCAAATGACTGAAGCTTAGTTCATGGCAACAAAACCTTTTTTCCCCCTTTTTATTTTTATTCTGGATCTTAAATCTTTAGAGTCCCCCTCCTTAATACCTACCTTTTACATACAGCTTAATAAATCCTCTAAAGAAGTACTCATGTTTTTCTAGGTGAAACTGAAAAAGGAAAATCTTCATTACTGTATCATCTGCTTTACAGTGTCTTTTTCCACACTGCAGTTCAAAATGGAAATGTAGTGAATGACTTGCAACCTTCATACATAACTTAGTTATGTATGAAGAACTAAGAATTTTTTACTTGATACAGTTAAACATTCATGAGTAGTATCTGCCTATTAAATGCTAGAAGAATAAGCAGGAATGCAATTATATTTTCTTAGTGTATTTTTTTTAGTGTTCAGAAATCTAAGAGCTGAAAACTTTCTAAAACATAAATTTGAGCCTTCATTTAAAAGAAAAAGGTTTTCCTTCATAAATTTATCATTATTTAGAATTTATTTTAACTTTTATGAGCTTTTGAAATTCATAACACCTCACGTCTCCCCAGAGGAATAGAAATTTATGTGGTAAAGTCTGTGGTTTATTTGTTCATTCATTCATTCCCTATTTGGAGTCTGCCTGGTCTTTCCTTTGGTGCCTTCTGGCTCTTCCATTATGAGAAACAGTGAGTGAGTTCTTCTTCTGACCTTCATTTCACTCATTATTTCTTGTGGGTTTATTGTATTTCACTTCAGTTCCCTCTTTCCAGGCTCCAGCTGGATGAGTCACTTTCACAAGCCTTTTTGTTACCTTTGTTAATTCTTTCTGCCTTCCCTGCATTTATAGTTGTATTCTGTATTTTTGAGAAACGTATATGTGTGATGCATGTGGCACCAACATATTCCCTGTTTCATTTTATGTTTTCTTAACACTTCCTCTTGCAAAAAAGACAAGCCCACAGCTCAGCAAACAGGTCCTGTTGCTGCTTCCATGCTTTAGATCCTGCAGCAGTGACCAAAGAGTTTCTGTGTGAATACCTTGGCTCTGGATTATAGAGGGAAGGATGACTTAGCGGTTCAGGATTTCTCAGGTCCTGTTACTTGTGCCTTGCACATGGTGTGAGATTACCTGCAAAGGCAGAAATGTCTTCACTGAAATACAGCATGTTGAGCCTTTAATATTTCCCTTAATTCCCACTGTTACCAAATGCCTTTGTCTTACCTATCAGTATGAGCCCCCCTGCCCATGGCAGTCATGCTTCTGACATGGCAGATGGGAGGTGTTTATCCCATTAGCTCTTTGGCTCAAAGCAGAGGCTGAGTCCAAAAGCATTTTGATTAATCAAAAAGAGGATTTCTAGTAGCTTTCTTTGATTGAAATTATTACCTTGAACCTGGTTGGGAATTTTTCAGGAAAATATGAAGTACCAGTGCTGCCTTTTTTGTGGATACTTGCTGCTTTCATTTCTCAGGAGAGTTTTCCTGATGCTTGATGATGAAGCAGCAAGTGGTCTAGCCAGGTTCCCATAGTCATAGAAAGAGTGGCGTGACTGGGACCTTCTGCATCTGCTGCACATCCCAAATCTGGAGTGATGGTCAGTATTCTTCCCTTAGCAACAAAGCTGGCCTAAATTCTTGGCTCAGCTTGGCCAGGTGTAGTTCTCTGTGGGTCACATTACAAACCTTATTACTTAAATAACCTGATTATTAAAAATCTTCCCCCTCCCTTTCCAATCTCACTTGTGTTTCGACACAAAACTGTAAAGAGGCAGGAATTTTCTGTGTCATTGTTGGCTTGCTGTTTTTGCTAATCCAAATAATTTTATTTCAGTGATCTAGTGTATGGATTATCACCACCCCCTCCCATCCTGCCGTTTTAAACAAACATCAGACTCTAGCTTAATTCTCTTGGTTAGGCATTAAGGCTGATAGTCACCAATGACATCCAGATGCAAATCCCTGTTCTGCTTTCACTCAGAAGACATTTGAAACTGATTTCTAAAGTCCAGATGTCATCATAATTCCCAGTATGTTCAGCAGCCTTACCCCCTGGTGATGGTGATTTTGAAAGGGTTTGTAGACAGACTGACTAAATACTGAAACCTGCCTTCTTTATGAAATAAAATTCTGTTTTCTGTGTTACCTGCTATGTCAACTGTACAGAGCACTACATGAAAAACATATTTCTGTTCTGAAGTTATTGGATCTTAATTTTCATTTTGTTTTATCTCTAAAAGTATTACTAAAATATAATATAAAAACAGGCCAGATAGACTCCCCCAAATGTGCTATTTTGTTATGTTAGTGTTCAAGAAGATAAAATCTGTAAGAAAAATCACAAAATTCTGTGTGTCTGAAAGAACAGATGCCACCCTTTGGGGACCGAGTGCTTTTCCTGCAGCTGCTGTGCTTCTCTTTCATCCCCACCCCATCTTCCCAGTGTCACTACTCTGTAATTCATTTTGTGCATGAATAATCACTAGTGTTTTACATTTTCTGAATTTTGTATTTATAAGCCTGTAAGGGATCTTTACAGTCATAATGTATCCTATTTAATATTGTGTTTCTAGAAATACAAGAAATGCATATAAAACCAATGTACAGATTCCTCTGCTTTAGGATACAAACCAGACACTAGCAATATAGCTAAGATAATAGATTCTTCATTAATAGGCCTTGTGATTAATTATATGCCATCAAGATTTTTTTTTTTTTTTTTTTTGCTCCTCCACCTCCAGCTCACATTGTCTCTTTTAATATTTATCTGGTGTGGAAAGTTAAGAGGAAGGGGGTAGTCCCAGGTCACTCACAGGGCATTGATCAGAGGCTCAGATCTCTAGCTATTAGAGATTGCACTGACATTTTAACATGGCTCTTGCTAAGAAGAGCACAGATCTGATAGAGTTGGGGGTCTTTATCCTTTTCTCCTTTTCTGCTAAAGTTTGAATATTTTCATGCTATACTGCTGGACTACTCTGCAGTTGTCTGTATGAATCTATGTCTCATCCCTGCAGATGAACTTTTTAGAAAGAAGTTGTGATACCAAGTGAGAGATTTTCTGGGTTTTGGATTGCTTTAAAAAAAAAAAGGGGGAAAGAAAAAAAAGATAAACTATGTGCACTACACTACTATATGCACACTACCACATACATTGCTGCTACTCAAGTAAAGGTATTTAAAGATTAGGCTAACAAAGGCATGCATGCAAATGAGGATGTCAGCAGTTACATTTTGTATAGCTCCTTCATTCAGCTGCCTGGTACAGTTTTCTTTAATTACATGATCACACAGACCCCTTTCAAATTCAGTGCCTGGGATGAGCCAGCTCTCAAGATGAATGAAGGTAATATAATGCCTCACTCCTGCCAGGAGTTGGAAGGCACAGGTGGAAAGACACAAAAGGCTGCAGGGAGGGACAGCCTGGGGCCATGACTGTGGCAGTTGAATGTGCCCCGAGAACAGGAGGCACCAGAGGGGTGGAGCAAGGCAAAATTAATTCCTCTCCAGAGGTGCAAGGGGGATTCTGGGAACTACAAAGCAGATACTGGAGGAATGCATTAACCTGTTATTTTCTAAGCATCTAGAAGATAGCATGATAGCAAAAACATAAAAGGGTTTGTCAAGAACAATTACCTTGAACTGACAGCACCTGTCATAGAGGATAGATGGAAGGTAGGAGATGTGATAGAGCTTGACTTTGATAAGCCTGTCTGTATTATTCTTGCAGACGTAGAGAAATACAGCTCAGATGTTATTGCTTTAGCAGGAAGAGAGCATAGGGAATTGAAAATTGTATCCAAAGAATAGGCCTCAGTAGCTGACCATAATGTAGGATTTTGCAGGCATCTGTCCTGAGTCTGTTATTCATCAGCATTTTCATTGCTGGGTTAGATGAAAGTGCCAGGATGGCATTGCTTAGAATTCTCAAATGATTGCAGTGGCAGGGTATGCAAGCACTTTAGCCACCAGGATTAGAAATCCACATTATTTTACATGATGAAATAAAATTCAGTGGAGGAAAGTGTAACATGCTTTATTGCCAAATGGGGAAAAAGTTCAAAAGCAGAGATGGGGAGCGCTGACCATGCAGCTCTGCAGAGAAGGGCTAACAAGTCTAGCCTTGAGGCTCACAAGTGCAGCTGAACAGAAGTTATTTCTGAAGGCTGTGAAATCTCTGTCATTTAAAGTTTTTAGAAGCAGATAGGGCCAAAATCTTTTGGTGATGGCTCAGGTATGATTAATCTGCTTTACCACTTCGGGAGTTGACTTTGGTTGTGCCTTTTTTGTTGTGCCTTTTGGGGGTTTTTGTTGTTTGTTGTGGTGACTGAGTTTTTGCACAGCCTTTTAGAATTTCTGTGATGTAAGGATGTTCTGGGCATTTAAAATTGCTGTCAGATGTGAATACCTTCAAATGCTGTAGCTGTCATGCCTGCAACTACCATTCTCAAACTTTGTCTTTTGGTACCCCTATAAAGGAAATAGCAATATTTCCTTTATATAAAACTTCCTTGCTTCAGAAAATTATTTCATAAGTGTTTCTTTTGCTGATGGATGAGGAAGTTGTTTTCTCTCACTTCCATGGACATTTGTCCCATAATTTGTGCTGGTTTTTATAGGTCTGCAGTAACAGAGATTTCATTACCGTATGTCTGTGCAAGTATCTGTACCGGCATGGAGAAGGGGGTGGCTGGCTCTGTAGTGGGAGCCAGCAGGTAGTAAAAGGAGGGCAACAGTATTACTGAAAGGGGTCTGAGCAGAAATGTGTTGTGAAGACAAACCCTTGACTGTTTGAGAAGCAGCAGTATACATGATGATGTGTATAACCTTGTAAATAAACCTGAAGAAATCAATGCTTTTCTTTGGAGCAGAGTATGAACATTGCACAGTAAATAATGCATCACACTACACATTGAGAAAAGATGTGAAAAATGAGTATTTGAAGGGATGTTCATTAAGTGTGCACCACCTCTCTGGCTCACTGCATGAGGCAGGTGTTCCCTTGAAGTGGTCTGTAATTAAAGACTACATCAGTAACACAGATGAAGGAGAGGCTTGTCTGCCTCATCATTTCTCAACTTTGGAACATTAATGACATCCTTTGAATATTGTATATCAGTGTGTCTCTCCCAGTTCCGCCTTAATTAATTTCCTGAGAGGTGAAACACAGTGTCAAAGTGTTTCAAGTATTATTTTCAACAAAGAACAAGTATTTTAGAAAATGTTGTTTCAGGAATTAAAAACTCCTTATTTTTTACATACCCGTTTTAAACTGAGAGATGATTAAGGGATTCAGAGGGAGAAAAACATCATTTGCTCTTACGTACTTGTACAATTCCAGTTCATCTATACTTTCTCTTTAATGATATTAAAGGAGGCTATGAGAAGAGAAAACAGCATTGTTTAAATCTGTTCTAATGAAGAGAACACAAAATGTAGTTTTTAAAGATAAAACTTCTGTTTTTCAATGCATACAGAATAGGTGACTGCATAGTGAAGTACTGAATGAAAATTTTTGCTTTGGGGGGATATGAACTGATCCACATTCTACTGTGAATTCCAGCATCAAGATTTGAATGTAAATTATTTTTTTTTTCTCCTTGGGCAGTTTGACATGCTGCAGACGTGTGTGTCTATTTTTGTTACCTTTTCCTAATACTTTTAACTCTTGCTTTTCTTTCCTTGTGCATCCACCCCAGATCGCATTCAATTAGGTAAGACACATTACTCTCCATGAACACTGCCTCTGTATTTGACAAGATTTGTTTTATGGGCTGTAATGCAGTAACCTCTTTCCTTTCAGCATCATTATATGCTACTTAAACTCTTATGCCTCATTCTTACAGCATGGTGAATGTAACAAGAAAAGGATTGGACTAAGTTTTTGCCTTGAGTAGATTAAATTCAAATAATGGACACATTCAAAAGACGTTGGTCTTGAGAAAACCTGCTTATATGTAATCCCATTCTCTCAACCATATTCTTTCTGTCAGAGGTTTAACATGAACAACAAACAGTAAAAAGTTCTATTCAGCTGAGTTTTGTAAAGATTTTATGAAGTATTTAATCACCTCATCTTCAATAGAGCAAAAGTATCTTGGTCATGATTCTTTAAAGGTCTTGAGTCTTGGGGAAATTTCCGAGTTCTGAAGATGATAAAGGAGTTCTTTATAATTAGAGTTTGAGTTTATTAATTCTGTAAAGCACTTGAATATATGATTTTAAAAAATGTTAGAAAACAATTTTATGTGTTCTCAAAGATTCTCTAAGCAGTCTGGCTTTAGGTCAGATCACCCTGAGGAGAGGCTGAACAGCCCTGAAGGCCTTGCCACTCCCTCTGGCCTTCAGTGTATCTTCAGTGCACTGAAAAGCTCAAGAGTATTTCTTCCATTCAGCTAAGTTATCCTAACAAGGACTCTAATTCATGAGTAAATTACAAAGTACAGCATAGACTGACCTTCTAAACTCACTCTGACATGAAACTAAAATGTAATAAGTGACAGATTCCTCTGTCATGAAGGATCCCTGTTCTCTGCAATGATCACTATCACAATCATGCATGTCTTTAAAGAAAGCTTAATATTTTAGGCTTGTACTAAAAGAAGATTTTTGCACTGTTTCTATAACTTGCATTATTATCTCTTTAGATAAATTAAATATGAACTCAAAAAACGAGCATTTAGTATGTTGATTGTCTTTCATGTGCCATCTCTTAGCTGTGTGAATTTAATCTTCTGGTTTAAACCTTTATATTTGGAATGTTTTGCTATTAAAAGAGGAGCAGTCTATGCTGAAATACTTCTAAACTCTATTTGTGCCTATTTGTTGTGGGTTGCAAAATAAAGTGGCAAGGATGCTTGTTTAATTTAATGAAGACTCTTAAAGATTTGCTGCACTTGTGAAATGTTTGGGCTAATCTTTCATAAGTCTTTAAAATTATGTGAAAAATCGAACATGAAACATCAGCATTGTCTGCTGTCAGTTCTTGTCCATCTGATCTTAAAAGAAGCCTTAAAATATATACAACAGCAAACAGTTTGTATTAGAGCTCACTATTCCACCTGCTTGCCAAATAGCTCTTCTCTCCTTTCCCCACCCCCATTTGTGAATCTTTAATCTGGAAAAACAAATCTGTATGTAGACTCAGAGCTGCTCTGATTTTGTGTCGTTTATAACAAACACGTGTGCTGTTTGTATGAGAGCTTTCGTTTTTTAATGCTATAATCATGCTTTGCTTGCAGCCAAGTGCTGGTGATGCTTACAGTAAAGCTCTCCCTGTTCTCAGTCAGACCAGGCTGCAGCTGTCAGTCAACACTGAAAGCAATGCAGGGGTTTTTGGAAAAAGACACACTCTTGCATCACACACTTTACCTAAACTGCTCAGATCTAAATGTGCTTATGGAAAGTTCTTAAGCTTCAAGTAAAGATTCTTATTTTTGACCAGGCATGATGTTTCCCAGCAGCAGGGAACAGGTGATGCTGTGGGAACAGAGTTGGTGTCTCAAATGGGCGAATTTGGCTCATGTAAGTCAAGCAGTCAGCGTGGGTGGCATCTAGAGGTCTAAAGGTGTGCAGCATGATTTGGGGATCTTTGAGTAATGCAGAGGCACCATCCTCTGCTTACAACTTTCCAATACTCCTGCTGCTGGGAAGTCTGAGGAGGGAAATGTCAAAAAGAGAGCTTGATGAGAGCTGTGGAAAATAGCTCCATACCTTTGGTAAAGTTGAGGAGTGAAAGAGGAAGTGAAATGTCCTGGAGAGGTGCAGATATGTGAGAGTGCTGCCTCTCTGGCTGAAGAAACCTCTTTTCTTCAGCCTTTTTCTGGCTGAAGAAACCTCTTTACTTGTTTAGGCAAGCAGCTGTGCAGGAACCTTTTGAGATTGGGAGTCAGCTGAACCAGCTCTGCTGGTGTGCACAAACCTGGGGTGCAAATCCCTCCTGCCCAACACAGAGCTCGTCCTCTGTCACTGCGGGACATGGAGGTGGCTCTCTGTGCCCTTTCATGTGTCTCTGTAGATAGCCAGGGCCTGCACCATTTAAATGGATTTTGCCAGGAGCTGTTTTGCATCATTCTTTTGAGCCCCACTGCTGGTCAGTTGACATGAGAATGTGGCAGTAAGATCTTTAGTGCTGAGAGTTTGGCAAGCCCCTGCCATCAGAAGAGGAAGAGTACCAGCTGTCTTGACTATATGTATATGTACATTTAAAGCGAAGTTAAAAAAATACATTATAATCATATTGGAAATGAGATTTTACAGCATTTTTTTTTCTTATGTTTTTCTTTCATCCCACAGCTACTCTATTCGCCATTCCATAAGCATGCCTGCAATGAGGTAATGTGCTACCCACATTCTATTTGCTATGGTGATGTTCAACAGAGTAATGAGGGGGGATTTGCATACTTTGATCCTGATCCTGCAGTTTTTAGTTGGATGAAAAGTCTCACTTCAATCAATTAATGTTATTCATGTAGATGAGTGCTGCAGGACAGGCTAGCTGTGGTTTTGTTGTTTGTTTTTTTTTTTCATTTTAATTGTATTAACTGCTTAATCTGTTCTACAAGCCTTTGAGTAAATGAAGCAGTTCTGAGATGTATTTGGGTAGGTGATTGTTATCAGGTTTGTATTACTGAATCTGAAATTCAGTTGTTTTGCTGTCTCTAGAACATCATCCAAAGCCCATTAACGTCAGAGATGCTTTCCACTCCAACAGGCTTTGGATCATGCTCCTATGGAGGGATTTTACATGAGTGCTTTCATATTTTAATGGCTATAATCACACTTTACTTGGCTGCAGCCAAATATTGACGTCTGTTCAAGTAAAGCTCTGCCTGTTTTCAATAAAATTAGTATCCAGCTTTCTTTTTACTCGCTTGGCCTCTAAATACATGACTGTCCCCATTCTGTGCCAAGCATGCATGAAAAACAAACTCACAACTAATTGATGGATGCTAATTCATTCAACTTCAGCAGGTGGGTAGTTTAAGGCAGCATTCACCAATGTGACCTATGGATCACATATAAGTTATAAAACTGAGTTTCTCTCTCCTTCTGACCCTTCTTGCCCTATGAAAAAATCTGTCATCTAAATAACAGAAACTAAATTTGCATTATTTTTTCAACTGGCTTCTGTTTGCCCTTCCCTTAAACTGGGGTCATTTTAATTCAGCCTGATGAGGGATATGATATAAATGTATTTGCAGAGCGAGGAACTGTGCTGCACAACAGGGCCTGAGCTTCAGAGTATTCACTAATAATGAAACACAGTGTATGTTTTAAATGAGCTCTCAGGTGCCAAGCAAGGAGCAGAGAACAAGAAGGTCCCCTTCACTCACTGTACACTTGTCCAAGTCTCCATTGTGTTGGGTGAACGCAGAGGAAAGCTTAGCTTAGTCAGAAAGGCAGCTTAGGAACACAGTCTCTCTCTAAAGTCTTTGTCTTTGAAAACAGCAGTGACAAAATCACAGGGAAGGGTGGGGGGGCAGGGCAGGATTCCTCAATGACATTTGGGACCCACTTCCCATGTGGTTCTAATCTCCTTCCCGACCTTAGGACATTAAACTTGGCATCTTTTTAATAGTGTAGGTTATGAACTTGCTCATCAGCTGAAAAGAATGTTTATTTCTTTGCAGCAACAATACAAATGGATAAAGCCATAGAAAAGCAGCATTACAGGCAGCATTGTCTGGTTGTTCTTCTGAGAACATGACAAATGTATCATAGAGTAGGCAGGCCAGTTGTAATTTGGTTTCAATTACTATGCAGGTTCTACTTTTGAAAATTTGTAGCTAAAAAGTACTCATCCGATTACCATAATTGGATTTGACTGACAGAGCACAAGTAAGTGTTCATAGCCTTGTGCTGCCAGCCAGCCTTCATTCTGTGCTGGCGGTGTTGCCTGGCAAGAACTGATCAAATTGTGGAATTATCCCATGATGTTGGCAACTGACTCTTTTTCCTCCCTTCAACTTTTTTTCTCCTAGAAATTCTCCAACTTTCAAATCGTTTGAGGAGAAGGTTGAAACCACTGTCACAAGCCTTAAGGTAAATATTAGGGGCAGAGTTTGCATTTCTGTGTGTGTTAAAGTGTGACAGCTTAGTTGTCCTTATCATTTGTACAGGAGACTGATTTAGTTTGTTGTTCCATCAAGAATGTCCTTGAGCACTAATGGAAAACGAAGGCAATATGCAAAGCAATTGTTTTCCTTTGCTTTGTTGCTAAGAAATTATTTCTGATGCCTGCCAAAGTAAGCAAGTTGTCTCGGAAATGCCAAAAATAGTGACGGTAAGGAGTGTCTGTTCCCAGTCATAATAATGTGTCATTCAGAAATAGAAAAAGGTAATTCAAACTGCACAGCTCTGAAGACCATTTCCACTCACAGTGATCTGCTTGAGAAGCGTGATCTTATTTTGTTGATTAAGCAAAGGTGTTCTAGAGTATTTGTCATGCCAGCTCAGCCTGTTGTGTTCAGAGTGCTCTTAGATCATCCTTTAAGAAATCTGTAATTAAGCAGGACAATACAGTAAGTTCTGAGTCTGAAATAATCCTCCATATCTCATGAAACCTTCATTGTCTTTATTGACAAACTCACATTTTCTTAAATATTTTCTTTCTGTATTTTTTCTTTTTCTTTTCTTTCCTCATGTGAATGGGGAAGGGTAGCTGGAGTCATGGATCTAGGGTGCAACCAGGGTAGACTGCAGACAAGTAGGAATGTTTCAGCATTGCTCCTCCTTTTTCCTACCTCTGTTCCAAGGCTTGCAAGATTAGGAAGACCAGGGAATGGGGGAGAAATCATGGAGTTACCCTTCAATTCTAGGGTTTTGTTGTGGTCTCAAAAAGTGAAGAACTACCCAGAGAGGCTCCTGAAAAAAAAGAACAGCAGTAGTCTTATCATCTTTCCAACCCCTGTATCAGCTACAAATCTTCAGTGATCCTACAGTGTTCTACAGTTTGCCAAAACTGATGTTCAGGTTTCATAACATTTAGAAGTCAAATTTCAAATTAGATTTTATTTTCTCTTGGAGTCTGGACTTTGGGTTGCACCTTTCTTGGGAGAGTATACTAGTTCATTGTCCCCTGGAAATCAAAAAGGACAAGGGTGCCTCATTCTTCTGAAAATCTGAACTCTGATGAATTAAATGTTTTATTGGACTTTCAAGCTAGGTAAGCTGCTGTGCTAGCTAAAGAAACAGGATTACATAGGATTAACCCTTTGGAAACTTAGAACACAAGGTTCATTTAATTAAAATAATCTTCCTAAGCATTCAGTGGCTGATAGGTTGAAAAAATGTCAGCTTGTCTTTGAGTTCTGCAATTCTAGGATGGAGTAAAAGGTTTTGCCCTGTTTTCAGGTTTGAATCAACTTGGAGCAGGCATATGAGCAAGCAGAGCCACAAAAAAAATGTTCTCCTACCAAGACAACCTAGTCACAACAGCTTTGTCTCTTCATCACTTAGTCTTGATCATTGCCAAATCTTTAGATACAGCTCTATCTTTGTAAGAGAACTTCTTTCTCAAAGATTTAGTCTTACAGATTTTTATTTTTAATACTTTTTACAAATTCAGTGACCTGAAGCATTCTGAAAGTAGATGTGCAAGCACATTGGATATGTTTGATCAATGTATTTTGGTAACTCTTCTCTGCCTTCTACCATGAAAATGCCACTGGCAGTTTTATATTGCAGTGTCTAGGCAGCTACAAGGACCTGAAGGGATTTAGGTCCTTTGGTTACTACATTCCTTCTGCTGTCCAAAATCCCAGCGTGGTTTATGAATTTTGCAAGCAGCTGTGCTGCTATAGCTGGCATGTGGGCCACTCAGCAAATGAACCAGTTCATTTCAGTATCCATCTCTTTTCCAGCCTGCATAGAATTGGAAAAAAAGCAGTGAAACCAGTGTGAGCTACTCAGGTAAACAACCCCATTGGGTTTACTGCTAGGGTCTAGGATCCTGCCTGGGATCTACTTAGGGACTGACTCCTTTAAGCATATGAGACATACCACTGTCAAATCTTATGATGGCAGCCTAGTTTAGATATTGTGGAGTAAAGAAGTTGCTTTATTTGACTGGTTTTATAGCTGTTGTTCTAAGGAACCATCCCTATGCATTCTCTGCCTGAACAGTTCCCTGCTCTCCTTGGCCATGGGGTGGATTGGAAAATGGGATTTGCTTCAGTGTGGACAGAGGATCTTGCTGTTCTCTGTTTGCTTATTTCAGACCAAGGTTGGTGGGACAAGCCACACGGGAGGCAGTTTTGAAGAAGTTCTCAGCTCTACAGCCCATGCTAGTGCTCAGAGCTCCCTTGCTGGCACCCGGCTCCCTGAAAGTGAAGAAGAGCTTCAGTGTTAAACAGCAGGCCCTCCTGAGCCCCACATGCCTCTCTTCAGAGACTTGCCCACACAATGGTTTTCAGCTCTCCCTCACCACACAACTTGTGCAAAAGGTTTTGTCAGCTTTGGAAAATTGCCATCCTGGCCTTGTGTTGGAGAAATGTTTCCTCTCCCTGTTTCTATTTTAGATGGGCCATTTTATCACCAGGTACTTTGTACATCATCAAAACCACATGCAAGTCATTGGCTGTAATGCACTAAATTCTTTGTTAAGTGGCTAAATAGTTTTCAGTTACGTTTAACTTCCCTCTAACAATCTCCCAGTCTCTGTTTCTTATTTATTTTGGTTTACCTTTTTTTCTATCTGTTGGTTTCTGGCTTCCCTCTCAGTGCCACATCAGACAGATGGACCTAGAGCTGTGCAAAGCATTCAGCTGCCAGCAGTAGCCCATACACCAGCTGTCTACCATCCATACCAGGTGCCCTTTGCTCAGGAGTGAGTGTCTGTACATCATCTATTTCCTAACAGAATTAAAATCACTTACTGTCACAAAAAGCTGTTTCTCCTTCGGTGGTACAGTCTGGCATTGCCCTACATCTGTCGGGCAGCAGAGTTAAGGAGGGCAGGAAGAGACACCTGGTTATTCATACACAAACAACCTATCACAGCTGCTGATTTCAGGTAATCATTCTGGCCAGAAAGGTTTCAGTTTCAAAATGTGCACCATTGCTTGCTCTCTTTGGTTTGGTAAGACTTGGCAGTGAATTAATTAGAAAACCAAGTGGAGTGGAGGGAACCTCTAATATTTCTGCCTTTTTATCTTCCCCTCAAAACCAAGGGAAAATATGTTTATGAGCTTCTGTCAAGATACAGCCTTAAGTGAAAGAATACAAACCAAACATTTGGCTTCAGACGTGCCATAGGTTAGAGAGCCCATGCCTTCAGAACTGCTAGCGTAGATCCCATCACCTGACAATGCACAGGATGAGTAAGAACTTCACTTTTGGTGTCAAATTTTGCTGTGCTTCGCTCCAGGATGTTAGTTCCACCAACCGCATTATCCCTGCTCAATCACCAAGAGCCAGATGTCTCTCAGCTTTCATTCAGCATGTATTCTGAGCTGCAATCTTTTCACGTTTTCTAAGGAAAGAGCAGCACATTTGTGACACTATCTTGCTGTGTAGTGAGCACGTGTCAGTCCGCATGTTGCGTTGCTCAGCTCACCACACACTGAGGTGGGCACAGTTATCAGTAAACTGGATGGAAAGGAGCCTGGCTACTTTGAGAATGGAAGCGTTTTTTGAGCATACGCCAAAGCTTCAAATCAGTGTTAGTGAGTTTGACATTACAGACTGCTTAAAATTTTGTGAGAAAATGTGGCTTTAAGTGATTTTTGGTTTTTTCTTGTGTGGCTTTTGTTAGTTTTTACAAAGTTGAAAGTCCTTTTGTAATGTTGTACTGGATATAGGCTAACTTTGGACATTTATATCACATGCCTCTTTAGTGTGATTTTTTAGCATGGAAGCAAACCTAATTGTTTTTCTAGCATTCTTGTGACAATTTTCTAGCTTATTTTACGTGGTTTTGTGCATAAATGTGAATTTATTTAAAATGGAAGATACTGACCACTTAAGTTTGTGTAAATGAAGTTCTTGATATTCTTATTAAAAATAAATTTCTCTCTCTTTTACCCTTTGTGATGTTTTAATTCTGTTTACCAGCAGTACTGAGCAATCTAGCAGAAGGTGTCCCTGCCACTGGCAAGGGATTTGGAACTTGTTGATCTCTAAGGTCCCTTCCCACTCAAACCACTCTGTGATTACTGAGCATGGGGTTCCACGCTGTCCCCTCGGTCCCCTGCAGAATGGGGAAGCCTCCTGCTATGCCACACAAATGGACTGTTCCTGCTTAGGGTAGTGTTTGTGCTGGGTGTGCTTCTACCAAACATCTCTTCAAGGCCACTTTGCTGGTTTGTCAAGAATGTTCTCAATTCTGCCCTTCCATGCATCTGCAGCTTTCTCAGCATTCAATGCAAACTAACGGGCACTATGATTTGTGTGCATCTAGGTGGAATAAAAATGCTGACAAAAGCTCAGTAGGCCCCACTCCATCCCCCTCTGCAGTATGGCAATCTGTTGCCAAGAACCACTAATCAGCTCAGCAAAGTGCAACCTGTTCTTCCAGGCTTGCCACAGGGCATGACTGCTGCCCCAGGGGGTTCCTGAGCAGAGCAGGCACCTCGAATCTCCTCTGAACCAGACCAATTCACTCTGCAGATTCTGAGCTCTGTGCCAGCCATTGAGGCAAGAAGCTCCCAGCAACCCTGCACAGCACTCTGTGCTCCAGGAAAGGCACAAGCCACAGAACACTTGGGGAGCTTCAGTCAGGCCCCTGAGGTTTGTGTCAAGAAAGCATTTCCTGAGTCATGGTGCCTGACAATGGGTGTTCAAATACACTACCTATCTTTAAAGGATATGACAACTGAATTTAGTTTTATGCTGCTTCATTAGACATGAGGTGGAAGACAGAGTAGAGAACTCCAAGTCTCTACCAGGTAAGTTTTACAGGTGTAAATTTTGCTTATTTGGCAATCATGGCATTGTCCTCCTCCCCAGCTGCACGCAATGCAGTTGGGTGTGCACTGGCCTCATTATGGCCTTTACCACCACTGCAGCTTTACTTCACAATCACTCTGTACTTCTACATTAGTGTCTACTTCTGCCAGAAACTCATTTATGGCAGAACTGCTACCAGCGTGCCACAGCCTGGAGAAGGGTGCCAGTTCTACATAGATGTACAGACTTCTGCATTAGATTGCACAAACTCCAAGGGTCCCTCCCAACTTCAGGTATTCTGTGATTATTAATTACCTGTGAAGGAGTCTGTAAAACTGCCAGTCTGAGGTGAGGGGGAGTGAGGAATATACACATGGAAATACTGGTGCCATTCCCTGATACAACACATGAACAGGGGAAAAGTTGTATGAAACAAAGAAAAATATAATTAATGAGATTACCAGTTTTAGGCACCATCACTTAAGGCTGATGCACTCCAAAGAAATCTCATGTCTAAGCTCAGTCAAGAGCTTCTAAAGACACATGCTCATTAGTCTCGTTTCTGTGTAGCACAGAGTGGATATTAACCCATTTTGAAGGTACTTAAATCCATACATACTTAGAAATTCACAGAACAAGACCACTTGCCCCACACAGTGCATTACATGACCAGATTAGATTGCAATCAGCTAATTTTTAAATGTACATGGACTTCCCCAGTGGAGAATCTATTTGTAACTGAGATTGCATTAATCAGAGGCTGATTAAAAAGAAGGAGAACCCCAAATATACAAATATACCAATTCTTTGTTCCCTGACACAACCTCTGATCTGGAAGGCAACTACATTACCTGCTCCCCTCTAAGTGGTCCTGGGATTCTCAGCAGTGAATGCACAGGAAAAAAAATCTGCTAGCAGAAACAGTGATGTTAGAAGAGAAAAAATAATGACCAGAATATAAACCAAAGTATTTATTATGGCTACAGCATTTAGGAACACCTCAGGAATGTGGATGAGATGTGGCAGCTATTCTTTTTTTCCTTTCTATGTAAATCAGAGATACAAGCTGGAGTATTTCTGGGTGAACAAACTTCCCTGCAAAACAAAAGAAAGGGAAGGTTAATGAAAAATGCTCTCATTTTGCCACATGTGAAAGACTGGAATTGGAACAATAGCAGAGATGTCACTTTAGGCTCAGAATAAATGTCAAATTACTCTTTTAAGAAAGTGAATGCTCCCAGTTCAATCCAACTATGGAGTAAGTGTAGCTACACCCCTTCTTCACAAAAAGCTTGTATTTTGTGCTCTATTAAGACATTTAAGAGCTGAAAAAGGGATGCACCCTGACCAAGATAATCTATCCTATGTATCGTGCTACAGGAAACCACTCCAGTTCCAGGTGCACTTCGGGTACATGCTGCAGGCTCTACTCACACACCAGCCCAATTCAAGTTGTTAAATTCTGGTAGGGGAGCAAAGACATTTGTTAGAAAATAGAGCATTATCAGCTTCATTCACGTTGTCCATTTTTTTTCCTTTGTTATCAAGTCTTACAGAGAGATTATTATTTCCCTGGGGAATCACCAAAGTATAAATGGGACTTGTCAGGGACTCTGTTGGGTGACTGCTGGTTCTCCTATCCCTGGAGTTTATCTTTAGTTTTTTTCCCAGGACAGGATGTGTTACTTACAGTCCTCCTCTGGCGTTCAACTATTTTGCCAAAATGATAAAGATTATTATTTTACCTATCTCTGCTTTAAACTACCAGTATATTCAGCAAAGGATGAAAAGCAGTGGATAGAATAAAAAGTAACACAGTTGGAACTTAAATCATTTCTCTGAGGTGGTTCTCACAGGAACCTTGGGCTGGTCACTCAGCTCACTTAGGGATGACAAATCCTACTTCACTAAACACTGACAGAGTACCAACAAACTGCTGTCAGAGCATGGCTGAACACTGAAGACTCCTTTATGAATACTCTGATGTTTCAGGGAGATCCTTACATACATGCAAGTGTAATGAAAGCTGAGCCTCTCTCTAAGGTGAAAAGTGATGTAAAAGAATTTGGCATAAACTAAATTCAGGTTTAATACCTACAGATGAATGTCAGGTATGTTCACAATGCATCAAGTTTCTCCAGGAATATTAGGGGACTTGAGCAATGAGTAAAATAACTAGTTCTCACTTGCTCTGAATGTCTGTCAGGAAAAAAAAGGGAATTTATATATTTCATTTATGAAAGAGGAAGAAAAAAAGCCCAAATGTCTTACCAGCAGTTGAATCAAAAAAATCCTGCAGTCTGCCAGGTGTCTTTTCCAACTCTTCATACTCAAATGCTTGCAGTATCATCTCACACTGATCCAACTGCTTTACAAACTTGGCCTCTGCAGTAGACTGGTTTTCATATTCCTGAAAAGATTCGCAGTTGTAAGAAAATAATTCTGTTACTCTGAAACAGAACACTAAAATCTCTTTATATATCTAGAACCTTCTTCATTAGTACAAGCCAATCCAGAAATATTCAGCACAATTATGTCCTCCTCTTTGTTTTTACAAACACACAGTGGTCAGCAAAACACTTAAAATATGTGCCAATTTTATATTAAATGCAGTGGGATGTAAAATACAGCCTTTTGCATAATATAAAACTCTTAATACACCAATTGTTTTGGGTGAATCAGGGATGATATGGAGGCAACTCTGCATGACACACAAGTTAAAAAATAGGTTTGATTTAACTGTATTTTACGTAGAAAGATAATTTCAGGCCTGGCTAAGGCTATTAATTACCACAGTGTGTGCTATGCACTGTCACCACCTATTTTTAAGACCTATTTTGCACTTTTCTCACCACTTACTGTTTCTATATGGAGTTGTTCTTTATATTTCTCCTGACATTCCTGCCTAATCTTTTTGCTCTAATCTGTCTGAGCTGCTTATGTCCTTATGTCTCTCCTAGGAGATAGGGAGTGGTTAAGGGGTTTCCTCCCCTTCAGAATTTAAGTCCTTTAATCTCTCTGCTATCTTTTCCCTCTCTACAATCATCATCAGTATGTATTTATGAGTGATTCACATTTCTACTCAACTTGAACAATTTTGCTGTCATTTGCTTCCAGTGATGGCTGCAGACAGGTTTGGCATTGCATTTTCTCTTTTCCAAATCTACTGCATTTTATGAGATGCCTCATGAGCAGGTCTTCCTGACTCTCCTGATTTCCAAAACCAAAGGAGAAAGGGCTTTTCTTCTGTACAGGTTACCTTGATGCCACTGCCAGGTCTGACCCTATTCATCATCCCCACCACCATTAATCACACCCAAGTGCACGCTGGGACCATCTAAGCTCCCAGGTCCACAGCACCTGTGGATCACAGCACTTCCACAGAGCAGCATGAGTGCAGGAAGAGGTTTGCCTTCTGACCACAGAACCTGGCAATCCTTTCTGCATCTTATGACAACAACTGTGGTGTGAGTGTCATTCACAGTGGAAAGACCCTGGCTTTGTAATTCCAGCACACTGATGCTCAGTGTGACAGTCATTTCCTTGTCTTGCACACTATTCATAGCCTGTTCTTAGGCTTATTACTTTACCTTTGAAGTCAGAAATCCAGATTTCAATAGCCATAATTGATTGGTTTACTATTCTATATAGATTTCAATGGTATTTTGAATTTTCAGTTACATCTTCATCATTATTTTAATAATAAATTTCATTTCAGTGTTTTTATCTTATTTTTCCCTTTTCAACCTGAGCTTTCCCTCATTTTTAAATTGTTTAAGTACTACTAATTTTCTTAAACCTATTTATTTCTACTCTATTTTTTATAATCTCTTTTGCGGGGGGGAGGGTCCCTCAAAGACAACAAACTCTTGGCAGCATTACAAAGGAGAACTTCAAGAAAAGAAGAAGTAGGGCTGTTCACCTGTAAAAGTCACTTTCACCTCCAACAATCAGGTGGGAGTATCAATCTGCTGCCAGCCTCTGTGCTATACACCCGATGTTATTCACACCTCAGCTCACACTGTCCTCAGGAAACATCAGCTATTACATGTGCAACTGTGCACAGTGCTGAAACAAACATCTACTGTTTCCTCCCCACAGGTGGCTAAGACTCCGAAATAACAGTGTACTTTGG